GGGAAGGGAGGGAGGAAGGGAAGGGAGGGAGGAGAAGGGAAAGAATGGGATGAAGAAGGGGGGAGGGAGGGAGGGAGGGGATCTGCAAGTAACTTTAAAGGAGACCTACCTTTTCAAAATCACCACCTGGACTTTAACCTAAAACAGTTTTCTTTCAGTCTAAAGCAGAATTTCTCCACTTTGGCAACTTGAAGCCAGTGGTGGGATTCAGCCGGTTCGCACCACTTCAGGAGAACCGGTTGTTAAGTTTTTGAGCAGTTTGGTGAACTGGTTGTTGGAAGAAATCATTAGGGCCGAGAACAGATTGCTCAACTATTGGGATCCCGCCACTGACGAGAAGCTCTGTGGACTTCGATTCCCAGAATTCTCCGGCCCTCATGAGAATTCTGGGAGTTGAAGTCCACCCCTCTTCGAATTGGCCAAGCTGGAGAAAAAGCCTGCTTCAAGGTCTCTGTCGTGACAAACGACAACCGAAACAGAAATCCGTTCAACGAGCGGACTTTACAACCACTTGTTTCTTTTACGTTACTTTTTTTTTAAAGAAAAATTTTGCAGAAATCAAATGAAATCAAAACCATCTTCCCATCCCACAGGTGTTTTTCAAGGCAGGGCTCCTGGGTCATCTCGAAGAGTTGCGAGATGAACGGTTGTCCCGGATCATTACCCGCATCCAAGCCAGGGCAAGAGGTCAACTCATGCGCATTGAGTTCCGGAAGATCATGGAGCGCAGGTGAGCCCTGGAGGAGAAGAACCAAAGTTATGGATGGCGACCTCAACAGGAGGGAGAAGGACGAGGGTCAGCAGAGGGGAAAGACCCTCTTCTTAGATGCGGTCGAAATACGGAGGTCTTTCGTTAGTCGGATCAGAGATCGCAGAATTCCTAAACTAGTGTCTAGAGCTGGGGTGTCAAACTCAAGGCCCACGGGCCGTATCCAGCCCACGGGGTGCTTAGATCTGGCCCATGGGGCCAGCCTAGGACTATCAAAGGACCAACCTGCGATGCCTCTGCGGTCCAAAATGGGACATGACCAGGGGTGGGTTTCTCGCCCCGTTCCAACCAGTTCGGTTGGAACGGGGCCAGCAGCGTCCTCGTGCACGCGCGCGGTGCACGCATGCGTACTAGCGTCTGTGTGATGCTCCAGCTGCTCCTGGAGGATCGCGCAGGCGCTGTATGCGTCCTGCGCATGCGTGGAAGCGCAGAACTCATCAAAACCGGGTAATGACTGCGGGCGGGCGGGCACGCCCTTCGCCGTTCCCAGAAGTTACTTACTTCCGGGTTCGCCGACCAACCGGTTCGCAGGGACCACCGCGAACAGGTTGAAACCCACCCCTGTTTACAGCCCTCTCTAAG